ATTCATCTTATCACTTAATAATTTAACCACCTATTCTGTAGTTGCATTAGCTAATAAAATTATAATTCAATTATAACTAAAAAAATGCATTATTTTCTTAAAAAAGGAAAGCAAATGTTACTTTTTTTCATTGAATCAAAAGTAATTAGTGATTACGAAATATCAAGTATATTCACTTATTATGTTATAAAAAAATATCTTTCATTTTTATATCTTGACTAGTTGCTCCATAATTATTATAGTTGTGGCTAATTAAGTGAAGTTTTAATTGAAAAGGTACTTCATCACCTTAAAATTAAAAGATTTTGAAAAAAAAAACACCATTTACTTCACAAAAACATTTGCTTCTTCTGTGTTGGTTTTCTTTGAAAATTTAAATTATCAAAAGCTACATTTGGAATTTATAAATGACAATAGTCAAGGGACTAAACTATAGGTCTTCAAACATAAGAGACTAAAGTTGCAATCAGGTTTGCAAGTCAGGGACTAAAGAAAAATTTACTCATCTTTTTTTTTTAATTTTTGCCCCGAGATGCGATGCCGTTTTCCCGGAACACGGCCAATTGAAGTCTCTCCCACGCGCGGTGTTAGCACTCTCAGACCGTCAGGTGGGGGGGTGCTGTCATGGTAGATTAGGCAAAGTGTTAAAGTTCATTTATTCGAAAGCTGTGGAGGGGACTAAAGCCGTAGCTATAGATAAATCAAAATTATCTGCATGCATCCCACTTGCTCAATTTCTTTAGGGTTTATAGCGATGCATTTTTTGGACATTCTTTCAAAAGAAATATTTTGGAATTTTCTTTTCTCGGAGAATTTCTTTTGATAATTAGTGAAAAGCTTAAATAAAAACAATAACAATAATAATAACAATAATAGCACTCCAACAGACGAGTATTTGAGCCAAGTAATGGAAGAAAAGGGTGGTAGTAAGACAACATCATTGAAATGTACAGTTAGAAGCGCCCACAACCTTGAAGGCTTGTGTTTTTTGAACTCATCAAATTAGCACATGGCATGCGAGTTTTGTCTGTGGGCTCGACCAAAAAGTTAACCTTCTGGTTTGTGCCGGTCACAGAAATAACTGAAAGGTTGATGTAAATTTAATTTTTGGTATGAATCATGTGGAAGTCCAGTCTTTTAATACAGTAAGATTTGCGTGCGTGGGGGGCTTGCCTGTTTTGCTTCCATGGCAGAGCAAAGCTAAGCTTAGGAGGGAGAGGAGAATAGCTTGAATGGAGGAAGACAATCTTAAGAGGTAAAGAAGAATAACACAGATGCTTTGGCCCCATCGGTAGGCTGTGTCCCTTTCTTTAGAATCCAAGAAAGCACCTCTCCCGGTGGTGATGGCAGCAATCACCACCGTCACGCCTTTGAACTTTGTGTTTAGGAGACCTGTCCAAATCATCCCTTAGTGATTTACTAAGATTTTGAACACAATTGGTCTAAAATTGTGGACTCCATGTTTGCACGTTCAACTTGCAGGGTCTGCCTGGGTCTTTAAAGATTGGAGACCAAGTTTGGTGATTATGATCCTTGACCATGGGTATGGAACCGGTGGCCTTTTTTAATTTATTTTATTTTTTTGGATTCTTGCTCGAGTGAAGAATACACTGGCCATACTTGTGAAATTACTCACCAAACAAGTATTTATATGCATGTGCAATAGCAGGAGCTCGTCCTTCTTTTTTTTCTTTTTTTTTTTATTTACGTGGGGTGTCCGGGCCAGCTTACGCACACCACGATTAATCCCTATGGTCCACTGAGCATCCTGCAAGCCCAGTGAGCAGGTAAGGCACCACGGAGGTGACAGGCGTGTATGGTGAGGTTCGAACCCAGATGCGGAGGAAGGGGACAAACCCCTCCCACCCAGGAGCTCGTCCTTTGGTACACTGCACAGGTGCACCCCTGTGGATATGGTATTTGGCAAGAGGTACCCTCGAAACATGTACAAGCGGGTGTTTGAAAATGTAATGGAAATTATTTTTTAAATTACTTTTTATTAAAAAATATATTAAAATAATATATTTTTTTAACTTTTAAAATTTATTTTTGATATTAGAACATCAAAACAATTCAAAAATACTAAATATTATTAAAATAATTCAATTAAAACAAAATGCGGCTAGAATTTTTTTTAATTTCTTTATTTTAAAAGTACAAATATTAATCTAAATATAAAATAATTATATATAGATTAAACTAAAAATATTAATCTGATCTTAATAATATATATATATATATATATATATATATATTTGTTAACAAACCTTACATAAAATTTGTTTGCAATAATCATTACTTTAACAGTTTTACTACTTTTCAACTTAATTCAAAATTAAAAAAAAAAACTCAATAATAATATTGTTATATTTGTAAAAATAAAAACATAATCTTGAAAATATAAAGAATCAAGACCAGTATTTAGTCATAAAAACCCATAAAATCCTCAATAACTATAATTGAAAATTGAAAAACAAGAAATAAAAGCTCAAATAAAGAAAATGAAAGGCTAGGGTTTTGTTTTTTCCTGTAAAAAAAAAAACCATGAAATTAATGTAAAAACAACTAAAAGAAGTGAGAGTAAAAGAGAAATTGGTAATATTTTGGAGATTTCAAAATAAGACATAAAATTGAGGGTTTGATGAAAAACTATTTGAAAATATAAGTGAAATAAATGTTTTATATCTAAGTAAAGATTGAAGAGATACATAATGTTTATGTCAAGTGATGGTGGGATTGATGTGTTGTGTTTTTTAAAACATATATGTAGAGTAAAAATAATAAATTAAAAAAAAAATTTTTTTAAAACATATATGTAGAGTAAAAACAATAAATTAAAATTTTTTTTAGAGTCTTAAGGATCTTATTAGATATATTTAGAATTGTTTAGGGTTTATACAAAAATAACTTGAAGATTATATGTTCATTTTAGTTTTGAATATTTGCTTCAAGATTAGGTTATTACAAACCACAAGTCATTTAAATGTTCAGTCTCTAACAGTAATTCATATGAACCACTAGTGAAAAATTTCTTAAACCCTTTTAAAAGATAGAGATTGTTATACCTTAGAGTACTCTCTCATTTTTTTAAGTGTTTTTATATTATACTCTACTCACCTTCTCTTTTTAGAAAAATAAGAAGCATAATATTTCATTTATAGAGGAATCTAAAAACTTTATAAATGGTAAAATATTAATTTTCTCCTTAAATAATATCACATATATTATTTAAGGATAATTTTATAAATTTACTCTATCAAGTTCCTACTTGATTGTTTCTAGGTTTATTCTAATTATTAATTTTTAAAATTTATTTGCAATCAAGTTAAATATGATTAATCATTATATTTTAATTTATAACTAATAATTCTTATATATGTGACCTATTATGGTTGATTTGACATGTCTAAAAGCAATCTAGATGATTGGCAAAAATATAGATCAACTAAAAAAAAATTATTTAAAATATTAAGATGACAAAATATTTAAATGACTCAGATCAACTTGTTAAATCTACAATATAAGTCATAAAACAATAATAACCTTATGAAAAATAAATCAAAATAAATTGTGAAGCTTAATCCGCAATAAATTTAATGTTGAATGATGAAATTGAAAAAACAATCATTATGAGTCAACTCGGGTAACCGCCAAAACTATAACCTGAATCACAAGATTAGGATAGCCTCATAAAAAAATCAAAAGAAATTATAGAACTCAACTCTCAATTAACTCAATGTTGAATAATAAAATTAAAAAAATTAATATAAAAAAAAATAATAAAAAAGTTTGAGCCAACCTGTGCATGGCTCACATGCGACGCATCTCAATTTTTTGTTATATTAGATGATGGATGAGCATCGTCCTCCCTTTAATTTATTTATGTTATCCCTTTAATTTATTTTTGAATAACATAGACAATGTGTTATTTGCTACCCCAGAACCCGAAAAGCCCCTATAAACATTGATTTAACCCATTTTTATTAAAAAAACTAAAAAAACAACCTAGAGACATGAACAAACCCATTCATATCTTTAGACAACTCAAAAATCAATAAAAAAAATCAATGTGAATTAAAAAATTTCTCAATATTATATCTACTCTCTTATGCAAGATGAAAGTCAGAGGATATCCTTATAGAACACTTCTTATTGAATGAAACTCGTTGATATTAAAATTAGGTTTTTTTATGATTGGAATCGATATAAACCAATAATTTTCTCCCTCTAATATAAAAATTCGAAGCATCTCTTTCATCTTTGTCAAACCAAGAAATTAAAAAATAAGAGAAAATTTTTTTATATTAAAAGTAAGTTTAAAAAATTATAGGGCTGAAAATTAGACCAAAATTAACTTTTTATCCAAATTTTAAAATATCCATCTAATTTTTCAATGTTTTTAATTATGGTTTTTTTTAAAAAAAATTTTATCATTCCATAATATTTCAATGTTTTTAATTATGGTTTTTTTTTAAAATTTTATCATTCCATAACAAGTAAGAAAGAAGCAACAACTTAGCAAAATAAATCCCTATCGTCAAATCCAGCAACTTCTAAGAGAACACTAGACAAATATCGAAGCAAATAACGATTTGGAATTGGGATGACAGCGTGACGAGAATGAAAAATAAAAGTGTAGAAAATAAAGAAAAGAGAAAATAGAATGATTGCGAACTTATCCACGGGAAGCGTAATTTTGGCTCATTCAAGAGGATTAATTCAGAAAGAAAAAAAGTTTGGTTACAAAAATGAAAAAAAAAAGAGTTCAAATTGTAAGAGGGAGTATAGTGAAACTGGCCACAGTCAGTCAGTCACATCTTAATTTATTTTAACGTAATTGTAATTGTAATTGTAAACTGTAACGGTAATTGTATTATCGGAAAAGAAAACAAAGAGGGGAAGTAAATAGAACTGAATTGCAGCATAAAGCCCGGCCCAAACGTAGTGGTCCACCGCCGAATCCAGTCCAAGTTGAGCTAAGTGAGGGAGAGAGTGGCTAATCTCGAAGTACAACCACTATACCTGACAATTTCACGCTCAGAGTCAGAGGAAGCAGAAGTTAAAACATTCAATGGATAGAGAATGGGGTTCTAAGCCGGGCAGCGGAGGCGCAGCCTCCGCCCAGAACGAGGCAATCGACCGCCGTGAGCGTCTCAGACGTCTCGCCCTGGAGACAATCGATCTGGCAAAAGATCCCTATTTCATGCGCAACCACCTCGGCAGGTACAGTAGAGTTGTGTTTTGTATTAGGTTTAGGTTTAGGTTTAGTTTTTTTTTTACTTTTTTGAAAAAAAATTAAGTTGATTGATTAATTGTTTGTTTGAGGTATTTGTAGTTATGAGTGTAAGCTGTGTCTGACTTTGCACAACAATGAAGGAAACTACTTGGCTCACACACAAGGGAAGCGCCATCAGACCAATTTGGCTAAGAGAGCTGCTCGTGAGGCTAAAGATGCGCCCGCCCTTCCTCAGCCTAACAAGCGCAAAGTTAACATTCGCAAGACAGGCAAGTCTCCAGTCTCCTTCCCTCCCGTTTTATTTGTTAATTTTTTTGTTTAATTTAGTGTGTAGTGGATAGAAACTATGTTGATTGGTTTGGTGTTGAAGGTAGATTAACACGCATACAAAACACTAACCTTGTTTTCATTAGATCAATGAGTGGCTTTGAGAAGTATGAAAGATCTTGTTGCTTAATAAAAGAAAAGTGGAGTACTTGTTTGGGTGGTAGTTATTGAAAAAGCCACTACTAATGGCATGGTGAATTCATATCTGATTGGAGTTTATTTGCCTAAGAATCTCCTTAATCTGATATTTTGGCTTCAAAGTAAAATGTACTGCGTGGACTATTTTGATTCTTATAAGATTAAGATCCAGGTAGTGCCGTTGCTCATGTACTTAGTAATGTCCCTTGAAAAAGCTTTGGAAAATAAACAGTGGTAGCTTATTGAGGTCAAGGGCTGCAAAAGGTCTTGAATTAAAAAAACAGGAAAGAAGGGAGGAAAATTAAGGAAATGGGTCAAGAACAGCTTCTGGTGACAAGTGAAACTTAAAGGCCTCAACTTAGAACCAAACTGGCTTTCTTAGGATTTTATGCTGCTGCACATATTGCATGGCTTGGCCAGAAATATTGAATTTGGAGCTTGGGTTTAGTGTTATCAGACCTATGCAAACAATAACGCTGTTTGGTGGAAAGCAAAACATTCTGTGGTGCTTTGTGTTTTTGTTCTAGCTTTATTATGTCAAGGGTATTGTGGTAATTGTTGTTTATGAGTAGTCTGGAGTATGATGATTCCATCCAACTTCGAAATATGTTCTTATAAAAGTTCCAATTTGGAAACAAAAGGACAGTCTTTCTTTGGACAAATTCTGTGGATATGAACTTTACAGAAAGAATTTGGTTCAGTGGTGATCTCTACTGTTGAGCACTAATCACGGTGTTTCCTTAGAGATTTGTCTGAATCTTTGTCTGAGAATTACTTATTTATGTGCATCCTTCATATCTCAACTTAATCATAAAAATCAATACTATATTGAGACCTGAGTTTGGTTCTTAACTTCCTAACTGATAACTGTGTAGATGTGACTTGGTTTAGAATGCAAGCTAGGATATTCCTACTGTCCTGCCAAGACATGGTGGAGGTGAGCTTGTCTGTATGTTGCTTCACAAAGACAATGTACTTCTAGGTGTTGACTACATCTAATTGTATTTCACTTCATATTTTGTTGTAATATTTCAAAATTTGTAAGATGGCAGTGTGGTAACTTGATCATAAACTTAAGAGTTAATGTTTTTTTCTGTCTGTCTTTGTGTAGTCAAAATTGGCAGGCCTGGTTACCGGGTGACAAAGCAATTTGATCCAGATACAAAGCAGAGGTCTCTTCTCTTCCAGATCGAATATCCTGAGATAGAGGACAATACAAAGCCTAGGCATCGATTTATGTCATCTTATGAACAGGTAATCTCCATTTTTGTTTTTTCTTAACTCTCTCTTTTCCATTGATCTCTTACCTTCTGCACATGTTAAGTGACAAAAAAAAAATTTGGTTGTCATTACTTATGAATTACAACTCAGCCTTTGCTTAAAAACTTAACTTTATCATTGATTTTGTCTGTAACAGCAATAATCAAATGGAGAAACCAAAAGCGTTATCTGTAACAATCAAAGAAAAACAAAGTGATAGAAACTGTTATTTATAAAATTGTTTGCAAACATATTGGTCAACTCAAGCAGCTTGTTGAAATCTAATGATGTAAAAAACTAAGCCATTCATAACTTTTACAAGCACTCTCTAAAATTCATCCCGTGTCTGCACTGTTTATGGTAAACATTTCTTCATAAATTATTTTCTTTAATCTTGCATTGCACTCGAGATGAATCATGTTTTATCCTTTGATTAATATCGGCCCTCTGCTTATGTATTTCCTGGTAGATGAAAGCTATGACCAGATCCTTCTAACTTAATTTATGTTGTCATGGATACAGAGAATTGAGGCCAATGATAAGAGGTTTCAATATCTTTTATTTGCAGCAGAACCTTATGAGATCATTTCTTTCAAGGCAAGTTGAAAGATGTTCATTGCATGTTTCTTTCTTTTAAGTTATGGTTAGTTCTGGAAACATTTGTCATTTGTGCTTGTTTATTTAATAATCCCAGGTTCCTAGCACAGAAATTGACAAATCTACTCCTAAATTCTTCTCACATTGGGATCCGGACTCCAAGATGTTCACAGTGAGTATTTTAATTCTTGCTCAACCACTTCATGCGTTTTGATTGTCATGCCATGGGACCCCGTATATCCATGTTATATTGAAATGTTGAATTAGTCTCTTGCGGATTCTCACTGTGTCTTATTTAACTTGGCCTGTACCGAGAACATTAAGAGACCTGGATCAATTCTAGATTTCACTCCTCTGGGTGCGATGCCCATGCTGAAGATTTCATTAGTTATGACATCTTCATAAACTGAGTGGACAAAAGGGTTATCCACAAGTGGAATCTATTTGGATTTTAGTACAAACTTTGCTGTCTCTTTGGATTAGTTTGGATCCTTTAATTGTGAATGTATCTTGACTCAAATGTCTAATGTACAGTTGCAGTTATATTTTAAATTGAAGCCACCAGAGGCGAACAAACCTCAATCTGTTGCTGCAGCCAATGGCACACTGCCTTCTCAGCCACCACCACCCCCACCACTGCAAGGACTAGCCGCAGGATCAAGACCCCCACCACCTCCAATGCCTGCATCATTACCCCCTCCACCTCCCATGGGTAATGGCCCTAGGCCCATGCCTCCAGGTGGAGCTCCACCTGCCCCGCCTCCACCTCCTGGTGGCAGTGGTGCAATGGCGAATTTCACACCTGGCAATCAGGTGGGTAGACCTCCAATGCTGCCTCCCCAAGGTTTTCCAGGGCAACAGATGCAGGGCCAGGTTATCCGTCCACCCCCACCACCTCCCAATATGGGACAGTAGGTGCCCTAGCTTAATGTTTTTTGTGCACATTTACGTAGTTAAAACAATCCTTGGATTGAATTGATGGATGATTGTTTGAAGATCTGAATGTATTATGTAACTCATGCGGCTTAGCTTAGCAAGAAGGCGTTTATTGTGTCATTTTGGAAAATCTAATAAGCTGCATGGTTTTTCTTTCCTTGAACGTGCGCGTTATGATCTTGAGGGTGCAAAGCAGGACCACCATGAGCTTTGCTTTCCCACACGCGTAGCCCCTTGAGCTCTTAAATTAACCAACGCGCTTTCTGGAGCAGAGATGATGGCGAAACTTGTGTTCATGTAAATGCAAAACTATGTTTTTGTTTTTCGTTTTCGGCCCTGTTTATTTAGTGGTTTCATTTCTTTGTCTCACTTGGCCTTCACGATAAGCCTGGTTACATGGGATTTGACTCCCCTCGATGATATGTTCTAATGCTTAAACCTGGCGCGCCCATCTATCTTGTTATTTGGTTTGGTTGTTTTCCTGGTTAATTATATTATATTATGCTCTGTATATATAAGGCATTAGCGTGCTAGCCTTTCACTGTCCGAAACCATTGTTTTTCACTGTACAAATCTATAGTGAAAGGTTGATTTAGCTGTTGGTGGGATAGCATGGGTTTAGGGGTTGCTAATTTCATATCTTTTAGCTACAATATAATTACTAAAGGGTCCCTGAAGAAATTAAAAAAAAAAAAATTCTTCTTAGGTTCAGGGGCTTTTTGGGTTTTATATATTTTTAGTATTGGTCATTACTTAAATGTATCTCAAAAATAATTAGGTTTTACTTAAATGTATTGGTAGATTTTTTGGGTTTGATATTATTTTTTTCGTGCTTTTCACACGCTATCAAGTTAGTGTCACTCAAGCCCTTCAGGTTAGATGCGTCAGGCCACACCCATCACAGTGACTCGGCACATGTATAGCAAAGAGGCATGGTGGAGCTCTAACAAGAAGTTTTTTCCTCTCATCCCTTCCATCTCTCCTCTTATAAGACCTTGCAAGCCATTGCAAAAGCACAAGAATGTCAATTTGTTTGCTAAGTTAAATTAGGTTATTATTTTTTTGATTGTAATATATTTGATCTTAAATTATTTATTAAGTTGATTTGTTTTTTCAATTTCATCCATTCACACTTGATTTTTATATTAAATTTGATCTTTATTTTTTTTAATTGCAATGTGTTTGATCTTGAATAATTTATTAGGTTAATTTATTTTTCAATTTCATCTCTTTACACTTGATTTTTATATTAAATTTGATTTTTATTCTTTTACTTATGATGTATTTGGTCTTGAATTAATTTGCTTTTCAATTTCATCCTTTTATATTTTATTTTTATATCAAATATGCTCCTCATTTTTTTTTAATTATTTTTATCCTTTTCTTAATTGAAATTATTTTTTAACTGCATCTCTTATGATTTGGTTTTAATTTTTATGTTAAATTTAGTATTTTTTTTTTGTTTCAAATCTATATCTTTTAAATTACTTTGATTTTTTTAAAAAAAAAATTCAAGCTTATTTTTAATTATTTTGGTTGGTTGGGAATTTCATTTTATTATTTTTTCAAGTTTGACTTTTATATTATGGTCCAGCTTCATGATTCGTTTCATAGGTTGAGAAGGTTAAATTAAGTTGGCTCCAATTATTTTTTATTATTTTTTAAAATTTTATCCATCATCTTTAAGACAAATTGGTATTCTCTGTTTATTTTGTTATTTTGGATTCTTTTATGAATTTAATTTTTCTTTTCAATGTTGCCTATCAATTCAATATTTAATTATATTTAAGGTATGACCTTCATTGTTTTGATTTCTATTTTAATTCTTAGCTTTTTTATTAGATTGTAATTTGTTTTTGATTTTATTCTTAGACCAAATCCAAATGAATCAGCAAGCTAGATTCATTTGTTAATTTGATTTTTTTTTTCTTTTCAATTCAAAATTTTAGTTTATCCTCTCAATTTTTTTTGAAAGAGGTTTTTATTCTCTTAATTGCTATTTTTTTATACTTTAATTTTTTTATTTCATCATTTGACATTTTATTTATTGAGATTTGATCTCTTTGATTTTTCCTATTATTTCAAGACCCTGTGCAAGAGTCAATACAAGATAATTAATGGATCACAGGTCAAGTGAGTTGATTTAAGTTATCCGAAATTAACTAAATCTTTTTGTTTTATAAGAAAATTAAAATGATATTATTTTGGAAAAAAAATAGTTAACAAGTTTTGGTTGAATTTTTCCTAAGTTAACCGAAATATGAGTCAATTAGGTTTTTGACTATATTACAATGTATCAATTCTTCAATTTCTTTTTAATTCGGTTTTTTCTATCTTTTTTATTTTGTCCATTGAAGTTAGAAAATTTTAAAAATTAAAATTAAACTTTATTTATGTTATGTTTTACCTTTTATTAGATTATCATATTCGCATAATTTTATTCACTAATTTAGGGTTTATACAAAAATAACTTGAAGATTATATGTTCGTTTTAGTTTTGAATATTTGCTTCAAAATTAGGTTATTACAAACCACAAGTCATTTAAATGTTCAGTCTCTAATAGTAATCCATACGAACCACCAGTGAAAAATTTCTTAAACCTTTTTAAAAGATAGAGATTGTTATACCTTAGAGTACTCTCTCATTTTTTTAAGTGTTTTTATATTATACTCTACTCACCTTCTCTTTTTAGAAAAATAAGAAGCATAATATTTCATTTATAGAGAAATCTAAAAACTTTATAAATGGTAAAATATTAATTTTCTCCTTAAATAATATCACGTATATTATTTAAGGATAATTTTATAAATTTACTCTATCAAGTTCTTACTTGATTGTTTCTAGGTTTATTCTAATTATTAATTTTTAAAATTTATTTGCAATCAAGTTAAACATGATTAATCATTATATTTTAATTTATAACTAATAATTCTTATATATGTGACCTATTATGGTTGATTTGACATGTCTAAAAGCAATCTAGATGATTGGTAAAAATATAAATCAACTAAAAAATTTTTATTTAAAATATTAAGATGACAAAATATTTAAATGACTCAGATCAACTTGTTAAATCTACAATATAAGTCACAAAACAATAATAACCTTATGGAAAATAAATCAAAATAAATTGTGAAGCTTAATCCACAATAAATTTAATGTTGAATGATGAAATTGAAAAAACAATCATTATGAGTCAACTCGGGTAACCGCCAAAACTATAACCTGAATCACAAGATTAGGATAGCCTCATAAAAAAATCAAAAGAAATTATAGAACTCAACTCTCAATTAACTCAATATTGAATAATAAAATTAAAAAAATTAATATAAAAAAGAATAATAAAAAAGTTTGAGCCAACCTGTGCATGGCTCACATGCGACGCATCTCAATTTTTTGTTATATTAGATGATGGATGAGCATCGTCCTCCCTTTAATTTATTTATGTTATCCCTTTAATTTATTTTTGAATAACATAGACAATGTGTTATTTGCTGCCCCAGAACCCGAAAAGCCCCTATAAACATTGATTTAACCCATTTTTATTAAAAAAACTAAAAAAACAACCTAGAGACATGAACAAACCCATTCATATCTTTAGACAACTCAAAAATCAATAAAAAAAATCAATGTGAATTAAAAAATTTCTCAATATTATATCTACTCTCTTATGCAAGATGAAAGTCAGAGGATATCCTTATAGAACACTTCTTATTGAATGAAACTCGTTGATATTAAAATTAGGTTTTTTTATGATTGGAATCGATATAAACCAATAATTTTCTCCCTCTAATATAAAAATTCGAAGCATCTCTTTCATCTTTGTCAAACCAAGAAATTAAAAAATAAGAGAAAAATTTTTATATTAAAAGTAAGTTTAAAAAATTATAGGGCTGAAAATTAGACCAAAATTAACTTTTTATCCAAATTTTAAAATATCCATCTAATTTTTCAATGTTTTTAATTATGGTTTTTTTTAAAAAAAATTTTATCATTCCATAATAAGTAAGAAAGAAGCAACAACTTAGCAAAATAAATCCCTATCGTCAAATCCAGCAACTTCTAAGAGAACACTAGACAAATATCGAAGCAAATAACGATTTGGAATTGGGATGACAGCGTGACGAGAATGAAAAATAAAAGTGTAGAAAATAAAGAAAAGAGAAAATAGAATGATTGCGAACTTATCCACGGGAAGCGTAATTTTGGCGCATTCAAGAGGATTAATTCAGAAAGAAAAAAAGTTTGGTTACAAAAATGAAAAAAAAAAGAGTTCAAATTGTAAGAGGGAGTATAGTGAAACTGGCCACAGTCAGTCAGTCACATCTTAATTTATTTTAACGTAATTGTAATTGTAATTGTAAACTGTAACGGTAATTGTATTATCGGAAAAGAAAACAAAGAGGGGAAGTAAATAGAACTGAATTGCAGCATAAAGCCCGGCCCAAACGTAGTGGTCCACCGCCGAATCCAGTCCAAGTTGAGCTAAGTGAGGGAGAGAGTGGCTAATCTCGAAGTACAACCACTATACCTGACAATTTCACGCTCAGAGTCAGAGGAAGCAGAAGTTAAAACATTCAATGGATAGAGAATGGGGTTCTAAGCCGGGCAGCGGAGGCGCAGCCTCCGCCCAGAACGAGGCAATCGACCGCCGTGAGCGTCTCAGACGTCTCGCCCTGGAGACAATCGATCTGGCAAAAGATCCCTATTTCATGCGCAACCACCTCGGCAGGTACAGTAGAGTTGTGTTTTGTATTAGGTTTAGGTTTAGGTTTAGTTTTTTTTTTACTTTTTTGAAAAAAAATTAAGTTGATTGATTAATTGTTTGTTTGAGGTATTTGTAGTTATGAGTGTAAGCTGTGTCTGACTTTGCACAACAATGAAGGAAACTACTTGGCTCACACACAAGGGAAGCGCCATCAGACCAATTTGGCTAAGAGAGCTGCTCGTGAGGCTAAAGATGCGCCCGCCCTTCCTCAGCCTAACAAGCGCAAAGTTAACATTCGCAAGACAGGCAAGTCTCCAGTCTCCTTCCCTCCCGTTTTATTTGTTAATTTTTTTGTTTAATTTAGTGTGTAGTGGATAGAAACTATGTTGATTGGTTTGGTGTTGA